TTCACAAGCGGAAGCTTTTTTTTCTTTTCTTTTTTTCTCCCCTTACAGATCAGGCTTCAAAATGCACTTCTGATGAAATGGGATGCTGTGTTCAGGATGTAAATAGAACCACTGAGTATTGTAAATGAGTCTGGGTTTTGTTGGGTGGCCAGCCAAAGTGCTGAGGGAGAGCAGACTTCAGGGTATCAGCTAACTTCCATGCCATTTTTAGCTTTCCCTTGAAACAGAATGGAAAACCAGTGTGGTTTTTAGCAGGGCAGCGTTGGTTGGCAGCCTGACTACAATGGCATTTACTGTTGCGTAGTCTTGTGGGCTCGTAAGGCAAGAGGAAAGGCTTGTAAAGCTTTAGCCTTCCCTCCTGCCTAAACTAATCACTGAAGTTGTCGAGATAGATGCCGGATTTGCAATCCAGAGGCCCTGCTGAGCAAGGATAAAAAGTCTTCCTTTGAAGACTTACATGTGCAGATCAAACTTAGAACTCGCAGCAGCTTGGAAAGTGATTTTTGGGGACAGACATAAGAGATTTGGCAGCCTGTTTTATGGAGTGCAGTTTGCAAAGCAGGACCTGGTTGCTGTGTGGCCCCCATGCGTACTCAGACATGGCTAAAGCAGAGCAGCTCCTGCAGGTTTAGCAGATCAGTTGTAAACGGAGATGACCGCTCCTCTGCCAGCAGCAAAGATATCTGAAGAACATCCTGTTCTGACTCCAACGGGAATATCCAGAAGACAGCTACCTAACGAAGGGGGGGTCGTTTCAGCTTTCATTTCCTGGGTGGAAAGATTTGCTCAGCTGAGCCAGCAGCCTGGAGCAGACGTCTGTCTGCTTTGCATCCTGCCCAGAGGTCATAGTTTTCTATTTTGGTTAGAAGAGTGTCTCGGGGTCAGCTCTCCTGAAAAGTCCTTCCTGCACCCCTTAGATGTTTGGGGAAAAAAAGGTATTGGGAGCATGTGGGAGCTGTGTGCTGAGTCTCTGCCATCCACATCTCTCATTAAATGCCAGAGAGGGGGTCCTTGGGAACTGGGACAATAAAATACCTGAAATAGATCTTTCTGGGCCCTCTAGATTCCCTGCTGTCTGGACACCATGGTGGCAGTCCCCCAGTCTGCTTTTAAAGGTCATCTTCTGTTACTGCAGTGAGAAGAATCGTAAAGTTACAGCAATGTATGTGCTTTATCCAGCATTGCTGGGGAGGTGGCGGGGAGTGTCTCTCAGGACTTCTTCCACCCCATCCTCTCTGGTGGCTAGGGTGATTTTTTTGTAGGTTTTCGTGCAGGCACTTCCAGTTACTTTAGTGGGATATGATTGGCACTGATGGGCAGCTTGGTCCTGTCATTGTGTCTCTAGACCTGGGGATTGCTTACAAATTGCCATTCTGAATCGCACTGGAGGCCAGTCTGTCCCAGTAGCACATAGTAATTGCAGAGACCAGTTGCTATGGAAAAAGTTTTTTTTATACCGGTCGTGCTCCCTCTGACTTCATCAGCCAGTGGTTGTAACCTAGACCATGGAGTTCACAGCCACCAGGGGACCTGCCTTTCAGGAGCTGGTCTAAACCTCTTTTCAGCCTGTTTTTGCTTTTGGGCCCCCGAAACCCTGTGGCAGCAAGGCTAGCAGTTTAACAATGTGGTCCCTGCTTGAGATCTCCTCTCTGGTTACTTTGTCTGATGCCTGTCCCTTACCTTCTCTCTCGTGCTGGATCTTGCACTGGGGGAAATCCTTCCTAGCTACCTCCACACCAGTGCTCGATTCAGTGACTCATTCACAGTTGTCTCTCTAACCCTTTCTTACTCTTTCAGTTCAAATTTGTGGGCCTGGAGAACTTCCCCTGCTCCTCGGACAGCCTGTGTAAGGTGCTGGCTATGGACTTCCCATTTGAGGTGAGAACACGCAGGTGGGGGCCTGGATCTCGGCCTTAGAGACAGCCCCGCTGTGCATCTCCCAGTGCTTGGGGAGAGGAGCATCCCCTCCGCTTGGGAGCTGTGCTCTTCTGAGGCCTGCGGGAAGCTTGCTGAGCTGTGCTGTTGTTTCTGTGTATGGGGGATGGATGCCTTTTATGCACGTGGCTGATCTGTAACCCTGTCATCAGGTACAGGCTGCCTCCAACCAAACTAATTAGCGAGAGTTAAACCGTAGCATTCCCTGTGTTTGGGCTGCCTTTGCTGCTGTTGGCTGAAGGAGCCCTTGGGGAGGAGAGGGTTGATGGGGATACCCAGACTGCTTCCAGAAGCAGCGTAGCTCCCATTCCCGTGGCAGTGTGATGGGCAGCTGACCCTTTGCTTGCTGCCCAGGGTGGGCTTGCGTGGGTACAGGCATGAGGATCCTTGCAGTGTGCTCCCTGATGTGATGGTGTTTCTCCAGAGGTCTGTGAGGTGGGCAGAGCGGTGTCTTTCTCTGACCTCTTTCCCAGGCTCTGTGTTTCCTTAGTCAAGCTACTCCTGTCTGTCTGTGTGCAAGGTACCCAGCTACCCTGTGTCTTGTGGAGATGGAAGGGGGGGGGTAGTAAGCTCCTGAGGGGTTCGGGTGTTAGTGATGATGAGATGCCTGAGACGTACTGGAGCTGGGGGCAGATGGCCCCCTGCCACTGGATCTCATGGAGGGGATAGTGCGAGCTCTGCTTTTTGCTTTAGTACAGAACTGGCAGCTTCCTGCCTTTGGCTCCTGCTGCTCTCGGTGCTCTGAGGTGGCTGTTCTCTCAGCAAGGGTGGCTGAAAAGGACACCTGCAGTGGCTTCAGCAGCTTTAGAAGTAGGTGCTGTTCCGGCCTCTCTGCTGACCGGTGGGAGAAAGGCAGGATGGGCAGCTCGATGTGCTGTCCAGTTCAGCTGTCTGTGGTTGTGAGTCGCCAGCCGGAGGCTCTTCTGAAAACAGCTGAGACTGCTTTTGGTGGCTGTCCTGGCTGTCTGAGCCCTGAAGTGGAAGAGGTTGGAGGAGGTGGTGGCATTCCAGCACGGCATCGGCAACAAACATCTGGGAACCAGAAGCTCCTCTGGTGGCTGGAGCAGTTCCCATGGGGGGCCCAGCCTCCGG